ATTTTGATCGATTGGATAACCATAGATAAGATAGATTAAAAAACATAGTATGATAAATCGTTGCATTTTCATGTTATATTATTAGTAACTAAAAATGAATGTCGATACAAACCAGTACATATGATAAACAATTTTTGACTACGTGTTCATGCATCAAGAAGGTTCGAGTCAAGTTTCACAACATATAGAAGCTCATTATGTTTAAAAGAGTATTTTTTCAGTAGAAAATGAACTGAATGAACCAGCTGAAGATGAATATGGTGTTAAAATAATTCAAGATTGTGCTACATCAGCAGATAGTTACTTTGAGGACTATTTATATAAAATTTTCGAAAAAAAGTGTGATTTTTACCTTGACGTTTTTTTACGGATAACTGCTAGATTGTGTATTTTTTTTCAGGTCATTTCTATTCTGACGGCATTTATCGATGCATACATAACCGATTATAAATAATCGTCGACTATCGGTACATACATTTATCGTTCTTTTTCAGTTGTTTGTATTTTCTTTTTCTTGTAGTTAAACTGATATTTACTTCGTAGTGCAATTGTGAAAAGAATATACTAGAATGTCAAAATAAGAAATAAGAAAATATGAATAGTTTATCTAGTATGCAAAGAATGTCGACGCCGAGTATTGTATAATAATTAGGAAACATATGGTAAACGAAATATAAACACCATGGCTTCGCGTGGGATGAAATGGGACAAACACAATTGGTTCCATACAATGAACCGCCATGGCTTATTCCATTTGATGTGATGTGATTCAAAATTTTTCATCCTACATGAGATGAAACAACCTTCAAAAATTTTCTGTCCCATGAAACGGCATATTCTTCAAATGGTTTTAAAAAAAGTGAAACTTATTAAAAAATTTTATCCATTTGATTAATTATACAAAATATTATATTACTAAAGTCAATTCAAAATTAGTGACAGACGTACTTTATTTCTGTATAGAAAACTTGAAAAAACTTTCTCTTCTTATTTAGTAATAATAAACATAATGCTTCAATTTCTATAATATTTGATCATACTTCAACTAATATTGCAAGAATACAATCTCGATATAAACTGTGTGTTATGATATGTAACGATAAAATTAAATCATGTTCTCTTCCACATACAGGTGCCCCATAGGTAAGGAAACAGAGTTTTTTTTTCGATTTCTTTCTTATAGGTTGTCAATTAGGTCTCATATTTATATCATAGATCCTAGGTGACATAAGTGAAAGATTCAGCATATGAACAATATCTTGGTTTATTATAATTTTTTCAAAAGGATACAAATACAGAATATCCAATAAATGCAAACACGTCTGAGTTCTAGCAAAACTTGATTAAAGCTACAGAATAAGATAATCACACTGACAAAAACTGTTTAATACGCCACCCTCTAAGTGCTGCCAGATTAAATAGAATGAAATATGTGTTGACAATCAAAAACTATAACTGCCGCCTATGATTCATTTTCTTGGTTATCCTGTATTTGTACGCTTTTGAAAAATTTATAGTACACCAAGAAATGATTCATATACTATATCTGTGACTTATATCACCTTGTATATGTGGCATAAATATGAGACCTAACTGACGATCTATAAGAAAGAAATCGAAAAAATACTTGGTTACCTTACTTATGGGACACCCTGTGTATTTTCCTTGCGCCCTTCTCTTTATGGATGTTGATATTCTCTTCTCTGACATCTCACACCCACATTCAGCCTTGAATCATACATATAGATCAGATTGACATTCCATAACAGACGTCGATGCATTTGTAGAAGAAATTTTATCAGCTATTTCTATGATCTATTTTTTAATATCCATCTTTCTGTGCCCTACATTGTGTATGACAACAAAAAAATATTTGCAACACTAAATCGTAGCATTCATTTCGATCAGTAGAATTTTCTTTTTTTCATATTAACATGCAACATGATGTATATGAAAATAGTATCATGTCCCTTGTACCTGCTTAAAACTAGTTGAGTTCTCATGAATTGGTCCAACGAAAATAAGCAAAATAGATGCTATTCTCCAAGTCACATAATCAATTTTTTTCGACCATTTCAAGTTTCTGCTCCCCTTTCATGAAAAAAAAACTTTTCGTCCAGAATACAGGTAATTTACGAAAATTCTCAAAAGTAATATTCTTTTTTCGTGACATGGCTCAATTTACTAATTTTCATACATGATATCCTCTTATGTATGATAACATTTTCGATGCAGTCAGAATTGAAAAATAATAACGTCCCGTTATGACAATTTTACAAAAACACATTTCTTGAGATCTTCCATATGAACGCATTAAAATTCGGCATGATTTTATTATTAGACTTAGTGAAGAATATTGACATTCAAATGGCAACAGATATATTTTTCGAAAGAATGTAAAAGCTCATAATCTTTCTAAGCTCTTCAATCTTTGATTTTTCTATGACTCGATGCTAACTGAAGTCCTTTGTTTACTTTTGAGAACTAGTACATCATTAATTCTAACTCAGAAAATTTTGCTATCAAAAAGTTCTTTATCGAAGTTTGTGACACAACGAATCAATGATCTGTTAATAAAAATAATGAATCTTTGCTATTCTATATTTTCTTTATTGATCTTTATGTACATCGAGACATTCTATATATCATTTCAATGATAAGACTATTCGAAAATGAAGATATTTTTATGTAACCGAGAGAAACAAAAACCAGACGAAGACAGCTGAACTAATTATTTCACCATTTAGTATATTATACTAATAATACACTAACTTTGCCATAAAAAATTGAAAGATTTGTTATTTGAGGTAAAGTTTTTTTTCAATGAATGTACTTATCTTTGAAATGATATACAAAGATTTGGACGACGATTGGAATTGAATTGAAATAAACAGGGAGAAAAGATGAAAATCTTTGGTAGCTTTTCTCTTTAATTAAGATTTTTGCTTTCAACATGAAATCTTCTGATCTAACTAACACACCAATTATGGAGGAAATGACATGTGTGTGAGAATGTATGAAAAATGGAAGAAGCTAATGCATAATTATCACTCTTTGTCTTAATATTGTAGAGACAAACGACATCAATGCTATTGGTTAATGCATATTGAATGATTAGTTATGTACAAGTCATCAAATCAATATTGAACTAGAAGTTCGGTAATGCACTTAAGAGAAAACTCATTTTGGAAAGCTGGTATTAACAGCATAGGAAATATTATATCACGAATATAGATTGTTTATAATAGTAAATTTTTCTAATCAACTCTAATTAAGAAATTGGCTTTAATGACATCTAGCGTTTGTATTATTCGCAAGTCAAATCTACTGTATTCTTGTTAAAACTAAGCATGCACCAAAATTGATTTTGAGATATTAAAATAAAACTCATGTTAAAATGATTTAATCACAATGCTTTCCTGAATATAAACCTTTAATACAACAACATATAAAATCTTATTTATCTTAGTCATCCTATATAGAAATCAAAATTTTTAAATTATAATCGAAACATTTTCGGAGAAATGCCATTAGTTTCATTATTTGTATGAATCAGTCACAGCCTATATACTCTGAGAAAACAGTTTGTATATTCGATGCCACACAACTTCTCGGTGTTACTTTTATACTCTGAACATACTCTTACTGAAAATATATGCAGCACATTCATCATCATCCTTAAGTGATCAAGCAACTATTAATGACTGAGCTACTACAGCTTGTCTAGCTAAAATGGACCATGCGAGGTCAAAGTTGAGCAGAAGAGTTCCTGGACAAAAGACATCTGAACTTACTCATTCAAGTTTTTTTTCTAGATTTTCCTATATGCTCAATCGGAGGATGGCATTTATTTTGAACAACAATTAGAATACATACATAACATTTGTTTTATTTGAAACATAAAGAGGAGACAGAATAATATGAATGATAAAAACCTGGAACATTTTCAATATTCTAGTATTTTTCTTGAATTTCAAATATTCATACTTTGAGTATAAAGTCTCTAAAATTAATACACTACGCTTTGTGATCACATATCATTCATAAAATTAATTTATACATCCTACTCAGTGACGATTTGAAGTTAAAAATAAAGTTTGAAGAAAAGTATGAGAGAATAAAAATGAATATCATTACAAGAGTATAACGATTAGACAAATTCAACAAAATTTCTGCAGAGGATGTGGTCATGGGTGTCACTTCTCTCTTCACCGACACTCACATCCTTTCTGCTCTGTGACGTATGAATCATCATCAAGCAGTTATCTGATTTATATACCAGGAAGTGTCTATTCAATTCTTGGTCAAAGCAGTGTTAAAGAAATCGAAGGAGGAAAAACTAAATTAAATTTCAATAAAAAAAATTATTGGATAAATAGTTTTTGCTGGTAATTGTCAAGTTTGATATGTATCGTAGAAGAGATATTTGTATGTGGTTTCTGCAGGTACGTTTTCTCGTTTTCAACCAAAACTGAACAAAATCCAAAAATCATCGTAATCATTTGAAAGCAGAAGGTCTTTTGTTTCGTTTTATTCTTTTCACCAACTATATGAATATTCTTTTATAGATGAACTCATTGAACCTAAGAAAAAAGATGATAATAAAATGTATGCTTCTGACAATCGTCGAGGTGATGTTCTTTTCAACAAAGATCACAACTGGCCAACTCGAAGAAGAACAATTCCATCAACTTGGCTAGCGAGATTATGAATACAAACGAAAAGTGATTAGACTATAATCGAAATACTTATCTTAATTTTTATCGCACAGTTGCTTCAGACGATGCAGCTGCATCTGTCACTGCAAAACTATTCATTCGATTTAATTGGACTCCATGTATACTAATTTATCAAAATGATGTCTTTGGACTTGGTGAAGTCAGAGCTTTGCATGCAGCATTTAATAAAAGTGGTTTAATCGTCATAGAAAGTATTATATTTGATATTGCCAAAGTTTTCGTGGTGATTTGAAAAGTCTTGTATCTAATGTTGCAATATGAATGGTTGTGTTATGGGCGCAATCAAGTTATATACCATTAATTATGCAAAATGCTCTTGATAATAATGTAGTTGGTCCATATTATACATGGATACTAAGCTCTCGTGTTTCTTTAAATTTTTTCAATGAAACATCTCATGACAACCTAATTGGAATGCTCTTGACTGAACCAGCTGTAGGATCAGTTGCCAATGCTTGAATTAATGAAACACTATGCGCCTGAGTCATTCCCTAGATCGATGAACGTAGATATAATTATGCACTATTTGCATCTGATGCAACATGGACATTAATTCAATCATTGCAACAATTGTGTGCATCAAAAATGAATAGGTCTTCTTCATGGTTGTCATTTGATGGATCTTCACTGTGTTATGATAGTCGTTTCATTCAATCTGACTTATTCTTAGATGCAGTTAGCACAACAGAGTTTCTTGGCGTATCCGTCCATATACAATTTAGTGTTAATGCAACAGATCGAATAATTGATTTATATTATTCTGCAAAAAATGTTCAACCTTCTTCGAATGGTTTAAATTTTGTGCCCCTATTAGAATATGCTCATCCGAGTAATTGAAGAACACCTAGAGGCTATTCTGAAAGGGATGTCTAAGTAAAAATCGCAGCTTCTAAGGTCCTTCTTCTGTTATAGAATTGATTTTTTTAAAACAACAATGCATTTTTCTAAATCTGATGACATCTGGATAGAGCACGTTTAAAATATGGATAAAGTTAAACATATAATAATTATTTTCGAAGGAAAAAACTAGTTCATGTTTCAAGTCGAAGTTTCGCGGTCGTTTCCACCGTCCCCCCTCCCCCCCCCCCCCTCTCTCAAGGCAAATACATACCTTAACAACCCGAGTTGATAGTCATTACGAACATTTCTATAGCAAGCGCAGATATAAATCAATCGTTTTGATATTGCTGTCACTCGTAGTTAAGCAGGCAAAAATAAAGGGTTTACATAGTGAACATCATTCATTGAAACTTTGAGATGAAAGAGAAAATAAACCAAAGGGGAGAATGTAGAATTAAGATACTAATATGTGCATTTCAAATAGTATATCAATGTTTAATGAACGGAAATGTATGTCAGTCCCACATTTCAGCGCCAAAGGAATAGTGCTAAAATGTGTTTTTTAGTATAAATTTTCTCTTAGAATAACAGATAAATAAAGATGTATCCAATAAAAGTTCTAAGCAAAGCTAAATGACGAAGATCAGAACGGTTGGAAAGGGAAAGCGAATATTGATCGAACGAAAAATAGTCGAAACATTATGATTGAAAATAAAAAAAACTTCAAATACAACGAATCAGAGAAGGCGTCACAAGAAGAAAATGGAAAACGCCATTAGTAAAACGTCCACCAATACAACGGATTTTTTTCTAGTACATGCAGCATATGAACTAGAATTTCTTTTTAAAATTAAAATTGTTACATTCATGTATTTTCATAAAACTTTATCGAAATTAATTCTGATGGAGTTGTGGAATTGAGAAAAAAATTTCTAGAGAGTATGGTGTCATTGTCAGAGTTGGTGCGACTGCAAGTGTGAGTGCCAGAGCTGGTGTAAACTGTAGTGAGTGATGGGTTCAAGAGGATCCCTTCCAACACCCGCACTCGTTTTTTATTTTCATGTTTTCTTCTGCTTCAAACCAACAGTTCTTGAAAGAGGTTGGGGTCCACTTTACTTGCACAGAGTACTACAACAAATATATTAAAAGTACCAGCGACAGATTATATACTAACATTAATTTATTGTTTACAATGTTGCCACTCTTATTGAGAGATTGTTTTTTCTTCTTTTTAATTAAGAATTTTTTGACTATTTTTCATGTCGATCAATTTTCGTAATGACTAATTTTCGTATCGATCAATTTTTGTAGCGACTAATTTTCGTATTGACCAATTTTCCTCGGCCAATTTTCGTTCGACTATTTTTCGTTCGACCATTGTTCGTAGACCCGATGGGAAAATAATTGCACTGATCATTAATTTCAATAGGAAAATTTCTAGGATCTTTATTAATAGCTTAGTTAACAACGGCACCACTCTACAAACTATTTCTCTGCCGTATGTAGAAATCCTACAAAGTATTTCTTTAAAATGTTGCCCAAAACAAATTAATTTTCAGAATTCCTCGATAAAATGCTTCAAAACAATAAACATAATCATAGAAAGTACTTAGACGTTCATTTGTATTTGATGGTCTCTTCTTTGCGTCTTCTCTTTACTCTGATGTTCTTTATGAACGATTTCGTTTAAAAGAAAATGTTGTAGTATGGCCCGATAATTCATTAACACCACCTACTGGTTCAACAATATTTAAAGGTGTACATTTGAGAATAGGTGTTATTGAATCCGTTCCATTTACTATAGCTCAAAATGTTACAGATGCATCTGGACAAAGTACAATGCAGTATAGTGACTATGTACTGGATCTTATTAAACTTTCACAAAGTAAAACAGGATTTATTCCAACTATTAAATTAGCATAAAAAAATCAAACATACGATGGATTGATTCAAGCAGTAGTAACGGTGTTTACGATATAGTGATAGATGTGATCGTTACCGCTTCACAAAGAGAGATGGTCAGTTTTTTAAATGCTATACCTGATAATTCCTTACGTATTATAGTACGAAAGACACCCGCTGTTAGTATCGATCTACTCTCATCCTTAAAACCATTCTCACGTAATCTTTGGTTATTAGTCTTTGTTATTTTTATCTATGCTGGTATTTTGGTATGTATAATGGAGAGACAAGATAATGAAGCATTACAAGATCGATCAATATTGTCTCAACTTGCAATGAGTGTATGGTATGCTTTTGGTAATATTGTTGGATATGGTGGAGATTTTCATAGCAGTACAGCTGCTGGACGGTTACTAACTGCTAGTTTATATATCTGAAGTTTGATACTAATTGCATCATACACTGCCAATTTAGGATGTGGGCGTGGATGTGGAGTGTGTGGGTGTGGGTGTGAGTGTGGGGTGTGGGTGTGGGGTGTGGATGTGGATGTGAGTGTGGGTGGGCGTGGGTGTGTGTGGGATGTGGATTGGTGAAAAGAGAATATCAGCACACCCACACCCCACGCTCACATGCACCCCCGAAAATAAAAACAACTTGTTTAGCGATTTCGACTCGTGCACTCAAGTGTTGGCGCCAAAATGTCGGCGCAAAAATGTGGGATGGGTGAGTGTGCTGGTACTCTCTTTTCACCCACCCACACCCCACACCCACCCCCGCCCGCACCCTACATCCCACACACGCACACCCACACCCTTGCAACGTAGCTATGCATAATTCCAGCATCATTGTTAAAAACAAAGATGAAGACGTGTGCTGATGAATTAAACGACTATATTTCAGAACAACGAAGATGTATTCGTCGTCTAGATGTCAGTTAATCGAAGCATTTTGTAGAAAATTTTATAACGACTTTTCCAATAAGACAAATTAAATTAAATCAACTCTAATTTAATCGAGGACTTCGTTCTTTAGAAAGCTTGAATGCGTTCAACTCAATTGTTCTTTCAAATGGAAACAAAGATGCATAAAAAACGCGTGTGACAATCAATCATTATTCTAGATTTTATTAAAAAACATAATGTCAATTAACATTTGCAAGATGTTCGATGAATGCTTGAAATAATTCTTTTTTGACATCATCATCACCCAAGTGGCCTTGGTCGAATACAGCTGTCTTGGCATTTAATAATTTTGCTAGTTCTTCTTGTTTTCTCGGTGATATCAATCGATCTTTCAAAGATATTTGAACGGTAATCGGAATACCTGTGGTACGTATCAAGCGTAATTCATCATTCGATAAATAATGTGAAGCAGCTGCCGAGCACTGACAAGCACAAGCATCTTGATTATCAAAAGCCCACCATTGATCGTAGTTATTAATCCATAAAGTTGCATATAGCTCACCGTTGACTTTAAGAGCAGAAGGTGAATATGTAGAAGGCAGAAGAACATCGCGAATCATTCTTTCATGATCTTTCTTGATAAGAAACGGCATTAACAATGACCAGATACTATGACCAAGTATTGCCATCGGTCGAATGTAACTACCACGTGATGTCACCGCAAGATACAACGATTTCAAACGATTTGACTGAATTAAAAGTAAAGCCAATTCTTGCGCTACCATTCCACCAAGGCTGGCACCGTATACATGGATAGGCTCATTTGCTACCCAGACTTTATTAATCAAAGCAAAAGCATCATTAGCAAGCATACGTGATGTTTGCCGAACTTTTGAAGTAGTTAGTGATTTCCCTATTCCACGATGATCGTATGTCAAAATTTCCACTGGTGTTGAAGAATGAGCAAAATATTTGACAATAACTTGTGCTTGCTCATCGAAATGTTTCAATGTAGCAAATGCACCCATTATCATAATTACTTTTGATGTTTCTTGTGAAATGTTTGGTGAACGAAGTTCATAGTAGAGTTCAGTATTGGGAGTGATTTTGACTGAACCTGTCGTGATTTTGATTTCATCTTCATTAGTTACTGTGTTTTGTTGTTCAGTCGAGAAGACTTCTGTTTCAGACGAATTCATTGATCTTGTTTTTGTAGTGCGTCGGATCTTCAACTACGACCAATTTTTTTTGTAAACTACTATTTTCTTGTGCTACCGGCAAAAACAAGATTCAAATCTTTTCTATCGCTGTATACATGAAAGAGCCATGTCGTATGACACTATGAGTCATACGACCCTTTCAATTGCTTGTATGTAGAAAAACAAATATTTGTCCACTTGATAAACAGAATAATAAAATAGAAATCTTTGAAGAAAAATAACCAAGAAAAGTACTCTCATAAATATAATAACGTACGTAGGAATTCTGACAGTATTTTGCTGTCAATTATCGATAAGTTGTGTAACATGATTTATTGAACCTAATGATCTGCAAGTCTCGAAAAATGCCGTATTTAAGTCCAAAAGAAAGATAAAATTGAACGATAAATAAATCAACCTAGGTACAATTGAATCGTCTAAAATCTTGATTCGATCAATTGGAAATATTGATTCAAAATACTTTCATCATCTACGATTTATTTTCTATATACCTTACTATAAGCTAAAATCTGAGGGACATGACTCAAACTCGACAAGAAACAACACAGCGGTACAATCAGTTTGAGAATTTTTCTTATTTTACCGAGACCTACCTGTTGGCAAAGTGTCGATGGAAAGCTCTATTATTATTTAGAAATGATCAGCTTGAACATAGATGCACAACTAATTGAGTTTGCAATTTTAATAGAAAACGAAATCAAAAATACCTTTTTTTTCTCATATTTTTCAAATCTCTACATCTGAGTTTCGGGATCTCTTTATGTGATAATTGCAAAACGGGATTTTTCTTCAAAATATATGTTCACGTACGTGTGATTACGGGAATAACAGATGTCTCAATGATAAGACTTTACTTTCAGATAATATACAAAAATGTTATATTGTTCAAAAAATCAAACAAGATTTTTCAGACCAAAAACGACATCAGTGCTGTGTTGGCCGTTCTTTCTGTTTAATACATTCGTGTAGCAGACTGCCTAATGAATGAACTAATTTTTCTGTAACATCAGGCCGGTTTACTTGCATTCTAAATCCGCTGACTCTTCTGCTGGGTCTTTTTGGAGTTCTCGCTCTATATCAGCCCACATTTATTCTATCGTGCTGAGATCAGAAGAACTCGACAATGAACAGTAGATTTTATACCTCGTACAATCTTGACGACTTTACGAAAATTTATATCCAATAGGTAGTGATTTATAATCAGTTATCGAAAATTTTCAGAAGAGTACCTTATTTCTTTTTAAAAAATGCATGTAGCATAGAGAGCTAACAAAAAAGTCTAACCTGATAGATACTCAATAGTTGCAGTCATCGGTTTTAGAAAAGAATAATATATCACAGAACATATATCGATGATATCAATATGGTAAAGAGAGCCATTCGGGTATCTGCAATCGCAATATGTGACATATAGAGACAACTTGTTAGTGCGATTCTGTAAGACTAAAACGTGGAAGAGAGAAATGGAATAAAACCAGTGAATATATGCAAATCAAAAGACAATATGAATTTAAACGTACGAAATCAACTAGAACAAAGTCGAAACCAAGATCATGGATTGAAATAGATGGCGATGATCAATGACATCCAAAAATGTGTGATCATGCTTATAAAATTTCAACAGATAAGAAAAAATGTTCAACTCACATAGATGTAGCAGCACATCCTCAAATTTCATATTTACAAATATCGAAAGCTGTTCAAAAATTGACAAGAGTCATTCATCGTCGAAAAACTATGGCATTTTACATGTTGAAATCATGTCTTTTGTAATTTATTTGAATATTAGTGTTGTGTATAGAGAACTAATCTTAAATGTCTGTCTTTATAATATTATATCAACCGATAGGAAAAGATTCAAAGCATCCCGCAGAAATCTTGAATTTGATTGAAACGCGTTATTTGGCTTTGTGAAATGTGCTTGATAAATCCTATAACGTTTTTCAATTTTATGTGTTCACATCGAAAGACTTTAGCGAGAAGTATTTAAAAGTAATTTTCAGGAATGAAACTAGATATCGAAATGAGACAAGAAATGAGCAAGATATGCGCATTGCCACAACCACACCCAATCTGGGTACGACTAAAAGAATCTCGGCTCAGTGTGGTAAGCTCTCTTCACCCATATCCTCACACACGCACACCATGAAATATTTAGTCTCGATCAAGTAACATTAGTAACTTTATTTGCCGCAATTAAAACGATTATAATACTTAAAATGTCAAGTCAAATCGAAAATGGTATATATAACAGATCATTCTTCAGCATTGCTGATGTTGATCATAGTCCATTTTGATTCAGAAGCGAGTTGAAACTAAAAGAAAATGATCAAATTTCTGTTAGTTTTAAAACAATCGATTAAGAAAAAGGTAAATGATAGAAAAAACATGATTTGGCTGTCAAGCATCGATTTATATATTCGATAGTCTTGCTTTTCTCCAGGAAGGAGAATAAGCTATCTTTCTTTTCTAGTTCATGATTACTGGTTATAATATAACTTACTTTCATCTGCTACTTCGGTTTGATCCAATGGTTCTTTATTAGATGAAATAGTGGATATGTTATCTTCATCATCACCGGCAAGACGAACAAAGATTTGTTCAAGTGTTGTTTGTGACAACGAATAACTTTCGATCAACTTTTGATTCTTTTGAGCGTTAAGCATGGCAAATATACGAACCAAATTAAAAGACGATGTAGTTGCATTTTTATCTTTCAATGATGATGATGATGTTGACGAAAAGGGTATATTGCAAAAGAGCGTTCCATCGTGTTGATCTGCAATTAAATAGTTATTGAAAGTTTCTTGTAAAAAGTCTAACTTAGATAATTCCTAATCTTCTTTGCCTCTTATTCCTCTGACATTTGAATGAAATCGTTTATGCTAGATCAAACATGCAATGGTACTTTGGTTTCACTTCGATCTATTCTCATGTTGCTCCTACCTTGAATCTCAATTTCTGGAAAAAAGGATGTAAGATCGTCTTTGATTTTTTGTACTTTATCGATTGATACTTTTACTTGTACAGCATAACCATCACCAAACCGATTTTTTAAATGTTGTAGATTGCCCAAACACATAAATTGACCCAATTTCATAATACCGATTCCTCGATAGAATTATAGTAGATGTTAATTATCATCCTAACAAAAAACAATCGACTTACTCGTGCACAAAGCTTCGCATTCTTCCATACTAGATAAAAAGTATAGAGACAATTAGACAAATCCAATATTCAATTTTTTCGTTACCTATGACTGGTCATGATGATGGTTATACCAATATCACGAGCGGAACGAATTACTGCCCACAA